GGGTGAAGAGGAGAATACCTGTAATTTCAACTCTTTTGGGGAGAGGCAGGAGGATCAGAAGTTTAAGGTTACCTTCCCATCTGAACCTACAGGAGACCCTTCCGAGGCAAGAAAAATAGTAACCCAGCAAAGGTTCAATGTTTCCTCTAAACCAGGGAAATGCTTCACGAAGATGGCTAATTAAAAAAAAAAATGCCATTTATGTATCTGGGCAGTGGTGGCACATGTCTTTAATCCCAGCATTTGGGAGGCAGAGATAGGCGGATCTCTGGGAATTTGAAGCCAGCCTCATCTACAAAGTGAGTTCCAGGACAGGCTCCAAAGCTACAGAGAAACCCTGTCTCAAGAAGCCACACACATTCACACACAAAAATGGCATTCAAGTGACATTGATTTAATAAATGCGTTCCATTTTCTCATCTTAACCTTTGATTTTTGAAAATAATTGATGGAAATTTTCTAACTTCCCCTGAGTCAACCAGGACAGAAAGAGAGCTGGATTTCATGAAAAGAACCGCCTGCTTCCCACTTTCATCTTCCCTGTAGTATTAGATTAGAAACCTTATCTTGCGTGTCCTAGAGAAGGAAGAAAGAAACCCTTGAAATATGATTCCTGCGTGCAGAGATGGGATGACAGAATATAGCCCATTCAGGGACCAGCACAGGCCCTGGCTAAATGTTTGTTTAGTAAGCTGAGCTTCTATTTCACCATAGCAACAGCTACCTTCTTAAGCTGCAGTGAATTTCAATTTAAAATCCTTTTTTCACCTTCCTGTTTGTGTGTGAGGAAGCTCGAGTTGTGAAGTAGCCAGAAGTAGCTTAAGCAAACATTCTTACTTAACTATATTGACTTATTTTATGGGAGAATAGGGGTAGGTTTTGACCCCAATTCTATATGTAGGGATCCCCATTCTCATCGGTGTGTGTTGGCCTGATGGTTGACTTCTGGGAGACTTTGCTATGGACTCTCAACTTCAAACCCATATGCTTTCAAGCCTGTCCTTGTCAAGATACAGAAGACCACACCAGGGATGGACTCCAGTTGGTCCTCCCCGGATGACAGAGCCACTCTTTGAAATGATACTCTTGGCAAAAGTTGGAAAGGAATGATTTCATTGTCATTGGGGGTCTGTATTTCCTTCTACAGTCACTGTGGTCAACAAGATTAGTGTCTTAAAAATTCTCCCAGAAACAGTCAGAATGAGGAAGGCTGTTTTACAAAAGGGAACATACACACACACACACACACACACACACACAAATAAATAAATACAGGAAAAAACTCAAAACAAAACAACAACAAACAAAATAACAGGCATATGCTTTGAATCCGAAATGTCCTCTTGTGTTTGGTGCCTTGCTCTTGGCAAGTGGCGATGCTTGGGGAGGCTATGACAACTTTAGGGGTCTGTCCGGCAGAAGTAGGTCACAAGGGGTATGCATTACCACACCCACCCAGCATTAATAATTTTTAAAATTGTTTTCAAAATGTTAGAATATTTTGGATTCATTAGGTTGTGAAAAATAAATGGTTTGAAATGAACTTGATTTACTTTTCTTTTTGTGTTTGGTGCGATCAGAAAATCTGAGACTCCATGTTCGGACTCTCTCGTATCTCTAGTGAATGGTGCTAGTCTAGAAAATTGGTTATCTATCGACTGATTGATCAATCTATCATATGGACATTTTCAGATCTCATCTGAGTAGGTCTGGATGACCCACAATTCTGCATTTTCTTACTCCCAGGCTGGGTTGATATGGCTGCGCCACAGAACACTCCTTGAGGGGCTAGAGGCCTCATGAGGTAACCCGTTCAATATGGGCTTCCCAAGCATCGCCCATTACAGATGATTGTGAACCACCATGTGGTTGCTGGGAATTGAACTCAGGACCTTTGGAAGAGCAGGCAATGGTCTTAACCTCTGAGCCATCTCTCCAGCCCCACACCTGGTTTTTGATATCTTTATCAAGATGTGACTCTGAGGGTGGATATACTCCTGGGGCCTTTAATTTTATAAGCTAATACATTCCATTTGTTGTAGTGAGTGTAATTTGCATTTCTCTTCCCTTTAGCCTAAAGAGGCCTAACCATAAATCAACAACATGAACAACAGCATTGGAGAATTTTTTTTTTGTATAAAGGTTTCTCTTGGCATGTTCAAGGTTCAAGTTCATTGCCTTAAATGCTCAAATCTCACATAACTATGTTGTTTTGTTTCTTGAATCAGGGTCTTACTCTTGTACCTGTGGCTGGCCTTGAACTTACTATGTAGACTGGGCTCGAACTCACAGAGATTAGTAGGTCTTGCCTTCCTGAGTTGTGGGATTAAAGTTAGAAGAAAACTAAATCCTAGCTTTGGCAATGTTCTCTAAAGTGCAGGGACATTTTTTTTTCCTGCCTTTAATACCAGTCAGGTTCTCATTAGGCATTAACATTACCTCTGAGACTTGTCTTTCTTGACCTGTCCATCTAAATTGTTCTTAGCCCTCTCCCCAGTTATCTTATTAATATTTCAGTGACCACTGTCATTATCTTTAATGGTCTTGTTTTGTGACAGGTCTCACATGATAGCCTTAAGGTGGTTGTTTGGCCTCACAGCCTCTGGAGTGCTGGGATACAGGTGTGAGCCACCACATCCAGATTATTTATTATCTTCTTTACTGTTTTCATATATTTTGTGACAAGGCTTCCTGTATCCCAGGTTGGTCTCAAACTCACTTGAATCCTTGGTTTTGATCTTTTTTTCCCTGCATCTCCTGAATGCTGGGATTACAGGTGTGATACTGTGCTGGGGACTGGACCCAAAATTTTGTGTAAACAAGGACGGCAAACACTCTACACTCACCGCCTCAGCCCTTATTTACTTATCCTTTTGTTTGTTTGCTTCTTTTTTTTTTTTTTTTTTTCTCCAGATAGGGTTTCTCTGTGTAGTTCTGGCTGTCCTGGTGTCCTGGAACTCACTCTGTTGACCAGGTTGGCCTCGAACTCACAGAGAACTGCCTACCTCTGCCTCCCAAGCGTTAGGACTAAAGGTGCTAGTGTACACAGCATTACCTCCAACCAAGGAATCCATGGCACAGCCGAGAAGTACAGCAGGACTCATGGAGGATGCTGTTGGCCAGCTGCCTCGTGTGCTGGCCCATGGTAACCTAGCTTTCTTATACAGGTCAGAATCGCCTGCCTAGGGGTTGGTGCTGCCCACAGTGGGTTTAGCCCTGCTACATCAGTTAACAACCAAAACTCCGCCCACAACCAAAATAATCCCCTTCAGCCACGTCCACAGATGGAGGCACTTTCTCAGTTGAGATTCTCCTCTCAGATGGTGCTGGGTTGTGAAATTCTCCAGGTTGGTCAACCTGACAGTGAAAATCACCCAGGGTGGGCTTGTTTGTGGAACAAGCTGGCTTGAACTTGCAGCAGATCCTCCTGCGTCTGCCTCTGACGCGCTGGAATTGTTTGCCTATACCTGCCCTGCCTTTTGAGTTCATTTATGTGAGACAATAACTGGTTTACTTTATTTATTTTTATTTATTTTTTTGAGATAGGGTCTCTCTACCCATAGGCCTGGTTGTTCGCAAACTCAAAGACATCCACCTGCCTCTGCCTCCTACCTGTGGGATTAAAGGCTCATGCCATCCTGCCAGGTGGTAATGAACATTTCAAAGTTGCTTTTGTTGATTGTTCTGCTCCTTGGAATAAGCCTGCTGAATCGGAACAGTGTCATGTGCTGTATTCTCCCCACCCATCCGCTGGAAGAGAGACAACCAAAACATTCCTGTTGAAAAATCAAATATCAGCTCGTCCTGCTGTTGTATCAGAATGGAAAATGAAGTTCTTGTGATACAGTCACAGACCATCTTTCTGTGACTTTTCTCAGGAAACAGACCAGTCCACGTTTATGCCAAATATCGACAATGCAGAAGGAACTGCCTTGCTCATATTCATGACTTCATTTGGTGGACCATGCAGAGTGGTTTCTAACTTGAAGTGTTATAAAAAGAAGAGAAATGTAATCAACACTCGATACCCCGCAAAGCATGAACACATACTGAAAACCTTTCTAATAGAAAAGCAAACCTGCATTTTTTTTTTTTTTTGTCTGTTATTCTGAGGCAACGCTTCACTCTGGAGTATAAGCTGGCCAGAAATTCACTTCAGCCCAGGCTGGTTTCACTGTCACGACAGCCCTCCTGCCTGCCTCAGCATCTCTAGGGCTGAGATTGCACACGTGAGTCGCTACACCCAGTTGTGACTCTGTTCTCCTCTTTTCTTTATCATGGGTTTTTATTTTGTATGTGTGCACATGCATCCCAGGATGCTCCAGGGGAGGTCAAAGGACACTTTTGAGAGTCAGTTCTCTTCTTCCACAGTACGTGTCCAGGGATCAAATTCAGGTCACCAAGCCTGGCAATAAGCACCTTTACTCCAAGAGCCTCCTTCCCAGCCGTTGTTTGTATTATTTATTTATTTAGGTTCTTTGAGTCAGGGTTTCTCTGTGTAATAGCCCTAGTTGTCCTGGAACCAGTTCTTGTAGTCCAGGCTGGCCTTGAACTCAGAGAGGTTCACCTGCCTCTGCCTCCCGAGTGCTGGGATTAAAGGTGTGCATCACCACTGCCTCGCTATTTTTTATTTTTTTAAGCAGGTCTCAAATTCAGAGATCTACCTGTCTCTGCCTTCCAGTACTGAGATTAAAGATGTGTGCCAACACACCCTGCGGGGTTTTATGTTTTAGTTTTCTGAGGCAAGATTTCTTTCTAAATATCTATGTCTATGTTAATATATATATTCTTTCTTTCTACATATATATGTATACACACAAGTGATGTGGGAGTGTCATATATCAATCTGTTGATTTCATTGGTTAAGCAATAAAGAAACTGCTTGGCCCTGTGGGTGGAGTAAACAGAACAAAATGCTGGGAGGAAGAGGAAGTGAGGTCAGACTCCACAGCTCTCCTCTTGGGAGCAGACGCCTGAGAGAGACGCCATGCCCCGCTCCCGGGATGAAGCTCCGACCCAGGATGGACATAGGCTAGAATCTTCCCGGTAAGCGCACCTTGGGGTGCTACACACAGATGATTAGAAATGGGCTAAATTAATATGTGAGAATTAGCCTAGAAGAGAATGGGCCAAGCAGTGTTTAAATGAATACAGTTTGTGTGTTGTTATTTCGGCCATAAGCTAGCAGAGCAGGCGGCTGGGGTGTTGGGGACGCAGCCCCGCCGCCACCCTTATTACTACACACAATACATATTTTCTCTCTCTACATATACATGAATACACACACATATTTATATATACACAGTCCTGACTGTCCTGGTTTTCTGGAACTTGCTCTGTAGACCAGGATGACCTCGAACTCACAAAGGTCTGCCCCCTCTCCTGGGTATTAAAGGCATGAACCACCGCTGCCTAGCGCTCTATTTTTTTTTTTTTTCGAGACAGGGTTTCTCTGTGGCTTTGGAGCCTGTCCTGGAACTAGCATTGTTTTTAAAGCAACAACTAAATAAACCTAGGTGAGGCAGGAAGTTTGCCTGGTAGGGTTCAGGCTTTGGGCACAGTGTCAAGCTCTGATACCTGACATAAACAAAGCCTACCATGGTGGATCCACCTAAAATCCTAGAATCATCTAGATCACCATAAATTCTAGGCCACCCTGGTCTGCATAGGAAAAATCCAGGCCTGTCTGAACTACACAGGGAGGTCTTGGCTCCTGTTCTCCCTCAAGTAACAAACAACCATACAAAGAAGCCTAGTGAAAAGAAAAGCGACTAATTTCTGTTTAGCCTTAGTATTCGAATTTAGCCTTTGAATTTCAAGAGTATTTTCTGTTAAATGTAAATAGATGCCCATAAAATCTTGTCTAACATAGAGAGAACGAAGAAAAGACATCCTGGAATTCTACCCATGTGCTTTATGCTTACTAATGGGGGGAGGAAGGTTGAGTATTCATTTTCCTGTCTCGAAGTTGCTTAGTTTTCCTAGAGTTTCCTTGTGGTTCCGGGATTAAGACTTCTAAGGTCCTCTACAGAGCAGAAATTCTGCATTCCATTTGTTGGACAGATCAAGAGCGACAGATACGTGGCTTTCCTGGTAGGAAGAGGTTGCTTGAGTCAAACACTACCTTCTAGGCAGTTAGACTGGCCAGGGGCCCAAGGTGAGTGAGCTCTCTTAGTGTGTGCTCCACCTCGTTCAAGTTCTGGCAGCTTTCTGACTTCCTGACTTTTTTTTTTTTTTTTTTAGCTCGTCCTGGGAAGTGAGCCTCTGCCTTTGCTTGAGGCTACCTCAGCAATTCAACCTTTCACCTACTTAAAGAAAAGTTCACAGACCAGCGAAATAATACGTTGGGTTAAGGGGAAGACAAACCAAAAAAAAAAAAAAAAAAAAAAAAAAACCCTGGCGTGACCAAAAATAAAACCCCGGGCATGAACACTCTTCCTTCTAATATTACACCGGAGTGGTTGTTTTAGTCCTTTGTGTTTTGCTCTGTGTTTTGTTTGAACTGGGGGGGTGGGGGGGGGGGGAGAGGCAGCCTTAGAAAAAAAATGCCTTTCCCTGGTGCCGTGTCCAAAGTGATGTACAACGGCAAACTAAATAAACACACATTTCCCGTTCCTAAACAATAATTTGGAGTAAACTTTCATCCTTTGAAAACAAACACGAAACCTGGGGTACGCGAAGATGGGGGGGGGGGGGTAAACGGGTTATACGCTGCGTTAAACGAAGCCCATGCAAGAGAAGTAACACTGGGCGTGCTTCAAGCTTTCGAGCCTTTTCCCTCCACAGGCATTCCCAAACGTCATTTCCCCCCCCCCCCCCCCCCCCTGCAAGATTGGCTAGAAATTCGTGCTTCTAGGATAACGAATCCATTCCAGAGAAGAATGAAAAAAACAATAAACATGCTATTTTTTTCCCTACGTTGAGATTTATGCATCGCGGCAGTGAAAGCGGGTTTTGCGGTTCTCTAAGGGGACCACCTCGTCGTTGCCTCTCGTCTACTCCCCCTCGCCCTCGCTCCCCTCGGCAGCACCCGGCCGTCCCGCCGCTCCCCTCCCGGAGGCTCCCATCCCCGCCCCACGCGGGCCCCAGCCCGGTCCGGCCGGCCGCGGCCGCTCTGCGGAATGACCTATAGTAACCTCGTCCCCGCCCCGGCCGCGGGCGCCGCGCTCCCCCGGCCGGCCCTTGATTGGCCCAGCCCCGCACGCGCCACCGCCCGCGGGCCAATGGGCGGCGGCCTCCTTGCATATGCAACGAGCGCCGGCTGGGGCTGCGCGTCCAGGACTGCGGCTCAACAGACGCTGCTCGGCCGGCGCCGGGGGGAGTGTCGCTGCGGTTGTGGCCGCGGCCGCGGGCTGGGACGGAGAGGCGGCGCGGCTGAGCGGGCGGCGGGCGGTCGTCTCTCTTTCTCTCTCGCAGGGCGGCCCCGGCGGCTCCGTCAGGGTCCTGAGGAGGTGGCGCTGGGCGGGAACCGCTCCTGGGAACAACCAGGCCTGCGTGGGTCGGAGCCCACGGTGAGTGTGCGCAGCGCCCGTTGTGAGGAGACCGAGGGTCGCGGGATGGCGGCGAGGCCTCCCCTCGGCGTGCACGCAGCCCGCCGGTGCCCGAGGGGACGCCCGGCCGTCGGCGGGGTCGGGGAAAGAGGTTGGTGGAGGGTGAGGAGTGGGGCGTCCGCGCGGGGTCGTGGAAACCGCCGCTGTGGAGTCGGGAGCGCGGGAGGAAGGATGCACCGCGGCCTTCGCTGCGGGTGCGGGGGTGGGGTCGTCCTGCTCCACACGACCGCGCGGTGTCCGTGGGAGGAATCCGCGCTCAGCGGTTCCCCCGAAAGCCAGGCCGGGGCTTGCTGCGGGCGTGGGGCAGAAACTGCGTGTGCTGGACGGTGGGGCTGGCGTGGGGACCTCTCTGGTTTAACCTTTAGGTGTGTTTTAGTCTCGCACGGGTCAGTCATGCGCTGCACATAGCAGCAGCCCCGGGGGTCAAGGTGTGAATAAGATCTAACTTCAATGCCCGTTCTGGCTCTAGAACAGGTACTCCGATCAAAGAGTCCCTCCGATAGAAAGGGCAGGACAGTTCTTGGGAATTACATAGAAACTGGAGTGGGGGCCGGCTTTGTGAAAGTGGTGATAACCGATCAGAATGCTAGAGCTGACATCTATTGAGCCTCCTCGAGTACTTTATGCACAGCTATGTTCACATTTTTAGTTCCCCAGGACGGCTGCAAATTCCCATTTTAGAGTGGACACTTTAACTTAGCCCAGATTTGACTAGTAGGAGAAACTGGAACCCCAAGAGGGCCTGTCGGACGGCTTTAGTAGCATTGCAGCTCTGTGCTGCCTGAATGAATAGTTAGCACCGTGGCTTTGGGTCTGGGGGTTCTGCAGGGCTTCGGTGTTCTTCTGTCTGTGGTAGCCAGTTTTGTATGTCCACGTTGGTTCTGAGAGGGGTTGAGGAGTGCCGCTGGACTACGAGAACGTGTTGGGACGTCTGAGTCAGTCGCCCAGACTTTTGTGTTCTGGTATCGTCCTATGCAGAGATGGAGGCCAATTGTATTTTCTTAAGTTGTTCTCTAAGTCTTTTGTCACAGAGTGCCTTGATGACCGTGTTTTTGGCCATAGGAGAGTGTCATCAGATGTCTTTGGAGCTCAGTTACTGAATTTGTAGGACATTTGGACTGAGTGACTTACTAAAGCCACAAGTATTCTGTGACTCCAAGATGTCCTCCTTTGAAGAAGGCAAGGCAAGAAGAAGGGCAAAGTGAAGGACATTAGGGGGAAACATCACAGGCTCAGTCCTGATTCACTTAATTGCTCACTGAGAGCCTTCTCATTTCTACCGTGTTAGACACCTTGTCAGATGTGGGGAAATACAACAGGGACAGAATTGATGTGACCCTGTGCCCTTAGGCAGGAATTAGACTCCAAGCCAATGATCTTGTAGATAAATGGGTGATTGCAAGCTATTATATAATAAAGGTGAGGTGGAGATTATAATAAGCTTTTCGATTTAGTTGGAAATCTAGGGAGCTCTCTTTCTTAAAAAAATGATAGCGGGAGATTTTCCTAGATTTCAGTCTCGTGTTCTGAGGCTGTAATTACACATAGAACAGTAGCTTAAGAACTTTTTTTAGCAACTATTATTTTTTTATTTCAGTATCTCTTTCCCACCAGATTGTCATTACAGCTCACATTGCAAGATCTCTGAATGAGATAGGGAATGTTTCCAAGCATTTATTCTACCTGCCTTTAGGGTGCTTAAAATTTAACTATTCTTGTAGTGCTTTAGTTTTCTCCCGATGGATGGTTCAGAAGCAAGAATCTATTATATGAGCTTTGGATTTGAAGGTATGGTTTAGACAATCCCCCTAATCCCTAAGTTGGCACAAAGTGACAGGCTTTTCTAATTCTCGTTAAGCAGAATCATTCAAAAGTTCTTTGTAGTTTATATCCTACTGAGTAACATACCTTTTATCCCAGAATTTGGGAGGCAGAGGCAGGTGGATCTCTGAGTTTGAGGCGATCCTGGTTTGCATAGTTCCAGGACAGTCAGAATCACATAGTGGGACCCTGTCTCAAAAAAAAACCCAAAAACCAACCAGCCAAATAAATTCTGGTTCTTAGGATTCAAGAAGAACCAGGCATGAATTGGGAAGTATAAAGTGCTAACTCTATAAATATTTTAGTCAAGCTTTTAAAACTGTCATCTGTTGATTAATTGAGCCTTTAAAGAGGTTAATATGATGAGCAGGGATTTCCAGAAAGTGGAGATTTTCGACATAAAGTTTCATGGCATGGTGATAAATCCATTAGCTGAGAGAAGGTACTGTTGAAACTTATTGGGAAGAAGTAGGTTTTGGATGTGATAGAACAGTTCCTAGGTTTAGCAGTGTCTGGTTGGAGTTGCCTTCTCTCTAGCGTACTGGTTTAGTGTTCAGAAGGAGAGTGGACTTAAGCCATTTGGGGACCTTCTGTTGGAGAGGGTATCGATAGTATCTGAAACCATGAGCATGTCAGGCTGACTATAGAGGGTCACAGTAGAGCAGAAAGAAGCCTGCATTAGTACTGAGTAGAAGAGGTAGTTTGCAAGAGAGAAAAGAGTGGTGTATTAGTTATTGTGGCAAAAACAATCTGCTCAGAGAAGGCAGGAAAGATTTCTTTTGGCTCATAGTTTGTTTGTTGTTTTCTCTCTCTCTCTCTCTCTCTCTCTCACACACACACACACACACACACACACACACACACACACACACACGGGGTTTCTCTGTGGGACAGTCTTGACTGTCCTGGAACTCACTCTGTAGACCAGACTGACCTTTAACCCACAGAGATCTATCTGCCTCTGTCTCCTGAGTGCTGGGATTAAAGGTGTGTGCCATGCGCCCCCCCCCCCCCCCCCCCGCTTGGTTTATAGTTTCTAAGACGTAGTTCTGTTTTAGGGGGAGGGCTTGTTGAGAGCATTTCATATCAAGGTGGCCAGGGAGTAGAGAAAGGGGAATATAGGAAGGTCCTAGGGCAAGATAAGACCCCAAAGATTCCCCCTAGTGGTACACTCCTTCAAAGACCACCTCCTAGTTATGCTGTGCTATGAATCCAGCAAGGGGTTAGTCTGTCGATGGCTGAAACTCTGTGATCTAATTGTCTCTAGAAATGCCTTCACAGACCCTCTCCCCTAACCAGAGGTATGCTTTACTAATCTCCTAGGTATTTATTAATCCAGTCAAGTTGACAGTTGGAAGTAACCATTTCAGGACAGTGAGAAGAGAGCCAGAGGTAGTCATTGCAGGGGAGGCAGTCAGGACTATAGAGTGCTCCTATGAGTTCTTGGTGACCCCTGTCAGTGTGGTCGGATGGGTCAAACCAGAGGTGAGGAAATGAGACAATCGGAAGTATTTCCCAGAGGTTTTTTGTTCGTTCGTTTTGAGAGTGGGTCTCTCTATGTGGTCCTGGCTGTTTTCCAGGCTGGTCTTGCTCCAACTCAGAGATCCTACTGCCTCTGCCTCTGGAGAGCTGGGATTAAAAGCTTGTGCCATCATGTCTCACTACTAACAAGAGTTTTTTGTTTTTGTTTTTATTTTTTTGTTTTTCCTTGAGACAGGGTTTCTCTGTATAACCCTGGCTATTCTGGAGCTCACTATGTAGATCAGGCTGGCCCTGAGACTGGAAATCTGTCTGTCTCTACCTTCCAAGTGCAGGGATTAAAGAAACGTACCACTACTGCTCAGCCTGTTAATAGAGGTTTTGATCTATTTATTTTGATCTATTTGATTTGGTGGATTGTTACTCATGCTGGGGCATGAGAGGAATTGGTACTTTTGCATTCATAATCAGGCGTATAAAACTCCATAGATACTTTCCTTTAAAGCTCTTTTTTTTGGTAATTTTAAAATTTTAATCAGCCTAG